GTTCAAAAATTGGTTTCTATGAATGCTCCTCAGGCTCCAGCTCCACGCGGTTTGTGTTCTGCAATAAAAACTAGAGACTCTGTTCAATTCCTTCTTCTGTAGGAAATTATCTCTATCACAACGGCAATATGATGAAGTGTCAGTGCCACAGTACTTTCTCTCTCTCTTTCTCTCTCTCTTTCTCTCTCTCTTTCTCTCTCTCTCTCTCTCTCTCTCTCTCAACTCTCCTACCTCAAACCAGTTTCAGCCTCGATTCATTAAAAATTATTGCATCGTAAATATTTCCATACCATTTTTTAATTTTTAATTTGCACCCCCTACAAATATAGATTTCAGAATGTAGGTCATATTTTGCGATGTATTTCAGAATGAAGTACGTGTTTTGGAATTATTTCATATTCTTACTAATGATTTTTTCAAATAATCAATTAACATGCCTAATATTGTGTGTAGTTTATGGCCATTCAAAGACGGAAAGTCGTTTCTGTCACAGAAGCTCTGCCCCTCATCTGTTCTCATAGTAGGAATGCTGCACTGTCGTGCACCCTATCACTCATTCCAGAGCCCATGAAGCGATGAGAACAGATGTGCATCTTGGATTTCCTCTTGAAGAGTCCGGGGCATGTGGTTGTGGTTAGACGTTGCTCTAGCAATGCTCAGAGCCCCTCTCCTTCAGATGTTTAGGACTGGCTGTTTGCTAATTTCAAGAAAGTCCACAAAGTCGTTTTGCATCTGTATGATATATTATAACAAATTAAAAAGTAGATTACTTGAGCAGGTATAGGAATATACAACAATAGCAATATATAAGAAACTGAGATGTACTGCCAGCAGGATCTTACCTTTAATCCTTTCGTGGGAGATACAATTAACGTCATGTGTCAGATAACCAAACAGATGACGGGCATTAGATGTGGGCGCCAGGTCCTAAATGGTGCGTGACGATCTAGGTGACGACCAAACTTCAATGACTTATCACTATTCTTATCACCATGGCTTGAGACTCTGGACTCTCTGTCGAGGCAGCTCTGGATTAGGAGGTACTGCTAATTCTTTAAAGGTTTATTTAACTTATTTAAAGAACGCATTCACACTCACTTTCGCACCGATACATCAATTTCTTATAAATTATTACTCATTTAATCCGTAAATCAGTCTTTCCTTTCTTTAACAATTTTCCACTATCGTAGAATTAGGTAAATAAAAATGTCTTTGATTCTTCTTTAGCTTAACACTCACCTCTATGATTTGTGGAATATATGTGAATTTGTGAAAACATTGCCAAAGTCTGAAAAGTGCCTCTGTCGGATGTTGCACGTCTGGATGAAGCTCGACCTCTGTCTCTCTCTGAAAACACAAAACCTCGATGAGTTCCTATTTGCTAATGTTCACGCTTGTGTGTCAGTGGCGGTTCCTATTTGACTCATGATTCGAGTACAGCATCTAAGGAGGGTTTCGGATGCTACTATTGGAACAACCTTCTTTCTTCTATATTTTTCCTAGGAATGCGAGTGGGCCGACGCTGCGTCAAGGAACCTTTTAATTCCTTCTTTCAATTTGCCCTCTCTGCCTTTTAGGGTGGAATTTTCCTCTAGTACTAATAAGTTTGAGACGCCCCTCTATAACAGCATTTCTCTTAATTCGCTGGGGTGTACAGCTGCAGGTAGCGAAAGCTAGGTGCCCCTTTTTCGAATGGATGTGTGACGCCCGTCGGACTGGTGCCTGCTTATTTGCGATCGCTACCATACTTTACTCCACCAACTGAGTGCTGTAAGTATTTGAAAATCCGGAGAAAGTTTACCACCTTGGTCACTTTCTGAAGACAAACTTTACCTAAATGTATAAATCAGCTCCGTCTCTTCTTCATTAAAAAACCTATATTTTATGGGGAATTATTCCGTCGTATATTCTTGCAAATAATTCTTGGTTGTGATAAATAATGGATGTTGTCTGGTATCAATAATTTTATTAGTCTTATGATCGTTTCGATCGCGTAGCGATCATCCTCAGAGCTAGAACAAGAAATAAATTATATTATTACGTCAATTATAAACTATTAGATATCAGTTAATGCAAATATAATTTACAGAATGTAGGCATTACATGCAAGATTATGCCTACATCGTGTAAATAATATTTGTATAAACTGATACCTAATAGTTTATAATTGAGGTAATAATATCATTTATTTCGAATTTTAGCTCTGAAGATGATCGCTACGCGATCGAAATGATGATAACCCTAATAAAATTATTGATACCAGACCACATCCATTATTTATCGTAATAATAGAAGGTATCTAACTCACCAGCGATCTAATGAAAGATTCTTGGTTGATAAGAAGTTCATGGTGCCCGTTCAGTGAATGAATCAATGGATGATCGTTTGTTCGTATGGAAATTGTATTATTTTACGCATGTATTAAAATATACTCATGACCTAATGTATATTTTACAACGGTAATAAATGTTATTTATTAGTGTTAAATGTATTATGTTTATTAGTGTATATGTGTATGACATTCAGTGAATATTCTCTTCGACACGGTGCTGTTTACCCTATTCATATTTCTTGTATTTTAACAGAATTGTTGCATTTACTGTGATGGAGAATTTGAATGGTTTTATTTTCCCGTATACGCAAGTGTATACGGTGTAATATACTTGTACGTAGTGTAGGGAAAGTTATGTAATGCTGCGGAAAATCGATTTCGAGATTTCAACGGAAATACACGTTATGGAGAACAGATACTGAAAAAGTGATTTTTTTAAAACGTCCGTTTGTCTGTCCGACCATCATTTTGGGGGTACTTTGCTCGGGACATTTTCAAAATTTTTACAAAAACTGCTCCAACTTTTTTCTCTAATTCTTGTAATAATAGAGTAACATACACTTATAAATGTGGCACAGGTCCGATTTTCACGGTGAACCCTGAATTTTCGATAATTTCAAAAGTATGATTTTTTTCCATGTCTTCCTGGAACTGCAAAATCAAACATAGAAATTTATTCCTTCAAATAAATTTGTTCTCTATAGTGATTTCTTTCATTAAGGTCATGTACAGTTTTTTGAAAATTTTAGTAGTCTTCGCGCAATATTGCGTGTAATATGTGCAATTTAAAAAAATATATAAAAACAAGGTTTTCTCAAAAACTGCTCCAATTTTTTTCTTTAAACTTTTCGTAGCGATAGGTTTAAATGTACTATTAAAATGACGCAAACGCTATATTGCTGTATTCCTTTGTATCTTCAAAAATTACAAAAATTAATGACATGTGAGACAAGTCAAAAAATTACATATTTATATTTATGCTTGAATTTTATTTAATTTATTTGTACATGTGCTCTAAATAATTCCATATAAAATTTTTCGAAAACTCTACCGTTTTGTAAAAACTAGCTCAAAACTCCGCATTTTCAGAATCATTCAAACGCTTATTTTCTCAAAGAGTTCAAAATTTTTTCATCAAACATTTCGCACGGATAGTGCTAATTCCATTCTTTAGTAAGACGTGAAGTTCATTTCGGAGTATTTTTTTTCAAAAATTACACAAATGTATTTTTTTATTAATCTAACGCCGTTGATATGCTTATTTCCAGCAATTTGTAGACACTATTGTATTTGTGAGTTAAAGTCCTTAAAATGAATTCAAATTAAGTTTTTCGAATGCACAAACATTTTCTGTGAAGAAGAGCTTCAAATTTCGATATTTTCGAGAGTAGCGCTTAAACACCAGTTTTTTAAAAACAACTCCAAATGTTTCAAAGAAAATTGCCATTTAAGAAGAGGTTTTACTGTTCTTTAATAATCTTAAAATAATGTTTCCGTTCGACAATTAGCAAACTGAAAAATTAAGAAAATGTCAAAAAATGTACTTTGGGCGGCGATAGATGGCAGCTGTCAAGAGTATGTGGGAAGTGCGAGTAGCTACCTGAGACCAAAGGAAATAGAAAACTAACACGGGAAAGCCTGTGCCATTCTGTAGCGCCACTAGTTTTCCATGAGCGCTCTGCGTGGTAACTTTGAAAGCGATTCAGTGGGGTCATAGTGTTGGTCTTTTATTATCCCAACGGATCTGCGAAATAGAAAACAACGCCTACTCATCTTTATGTACGTACATGTGAAGAAGGTCAGTCCGTGATGTTCATAAGATGAAAGAATTTCTACGAGACATGGTCAACGTTTACCACCCGGATTATAAGGTAAGTTGACTTTCTTATTTGGCTTGTAGTTTCATGTGGAAGTTATGCAAGAGTAAATTTTTTATTGTAAGTGCAGTTCAGTACAATAATGTTCCCTTTAAAAGAAATTATCTTAGAAGTGAGGTGAGCGGCAGGAGCGCCGGAGTGAGAGCGGAAGTGCGGATCCGGCGCGAGCGCAGGGCGGGGGCGGAGGGCCGCTGGCAGTTGGATCCGTCGCGGACCGCATCCAGAGGGCTTCTCAGGCCACAGACTTTCTTCCTACTAGAACGCTATCATCTAATTCCTCTACGCCTTCAATATTACGCACGAAATCCAAGTTAAAACTCGCTATTTTTTCACAGCAATGGTCGGACGCCGGATGCCGAAACTCAACACCCAGACACCTAGAAGGATCGATACTTGATCGAAACTGTCGATTGAAAATCCGACTTAAGAAATGGACACAGAGTTTTTAGGCGTCGCCAAACGTTGTTTGCGGAGCAAAGCTGACGCAGTTACTCCTTGGTTCCTTCGCAATCATTCGTAGAAAATTCCTCTCCGCTTACTCTATGCTTTCGACGAGAATAGATACTCCTGGCTTACATCAGACCTTTATTTGTAAGGCGGTTTGATTTTATGTTGCAAGAGCGCGAAATTCTTTAATGGTATTACCTTTTCATCGCAAAACTAATATTAGTATAAATGTGTTTTTAGAAAATACAATTTTGAAAGTTAATTGATTCAAAACTCCACGACGTTTTTCTCGTCGCTTTCTTTTCCATTGCTTTCCCAACCCGCGTGTGCGCAATGTGTTGCAGAACGTGCTGTTCTCGGTGGGGAGCGCCTTCCTGTACTACGTGAACCACTTCAAGCTGTACAGCTCGTTCTGCGCCAGCCACTCCAAGGCGCAGAAGGTGCTGCACCCCAGTGAGTACACTTCGAAACACTTGCTTCCACCATTTGTCTTCAAACGGCAGGAATTTCTGGGTAGTTTCGGCCGAGACAAGTCGTCATCGATACAAAAGATTAAAAAGATGATATCGTAAACCACAATTCTATGACGATGTATTACATTGCAAGGTACGAATGGAGCAACTCTGGCGTTCTCCGGGTATTTAACATCTCTTACAAAAAGTGTTCATTTCTGTCTGTAGTAGGTGATGGAAGTAATTATATTTATATCCCCGTCACGTAAATTCCCACGCCCCCCCCCCCGAGATTGGCATTTTTAGGCTCGCCTTGGAACAAATTTTATTTAAAAAAGCAAATTTGAGACTAACATTTTGAATCGGGAACACACTGTGTTCTGCCCCCGGAGTTACGCTGACAGTAAAAAGTACATCCATTTTACTTTGTCACTTTAATTCGTACTTAGGTGGTAAAGAGAAAGTATGGTAATATGTGATAAAAATCGGTAATTGTCCGAAAAACTCTTATCGTGGTCCCCTGGTATCGAAAAGTAGAAGAATCTTGTTACTGTATGTAGTAAATTACTTATTATTCACTTAACACCAGGGAGAGGGGTTGAGGTGTGAGGTCTAAAGCCAGAGAGTCTGATTTTTAAGTCTAATGATAGGATGGCTACGAAAACATCTTATAAGAATTGTCTAATGATTAAAAATATTAAATAAAAGTTGCAAATGTCTAATCCATTTTGGTCTAACAGAAATGCATAACATAATGCCACCTGTATTATCATTGTCAGTATATTTTGATGCCTATGTTAAAATCGCAATATTAACTGACAGGCCTAATTCACAAATCCTATAACGTATATAATTCTATAAAGGTATTGAAGAAAGTTAGTCCGCACTTTTAAAAGTGACTGGCAAGGACTGCTGGTAAATATCGACTCTGTTTGTGATACAAGTTTAACTACTGGCTCGTCTATGAGCTCTTCGAGTATATTTTATTCTGAGAAGTATTTTTAATTCAAAAACGGTAAGTGAAGTCGTTGTGTACTAAAATATTTTTATCTGTAAACGGTGTTTTCTTGTAGGCACGTATTTTGACTGAAATGTATAAAGTAATGTGATATATTGTATAACGCGCCGCATTCTCGAGCGAACTGCCCGGGTTGGGTGCCTAGCCGGTCAGTCGGAGATGACGGTACATCCGTCGACTCACCTGCTTCGGTCGATTTCCAACGTAGCGAAGATCTTGCTTCTCTCTCGACAGAGCGGAGATAATCCACGGGGAGGGGCCTCTGTAGTTAGCCTTGCGAGGGTTGGTAAGCGGGATCGGGTGAACGTCATGATTTATCAACAAAAAAGATAATACTGTCATTGCTGTGGTTCATGAAGGGATCCCGCCTTTTTATTGAAATTTGAAATGAGTTGCCGGAAATGACATTGATGAGATAACCTTCATCAATTTCTTTACAACAAACTTCGTAACTTTTACATGCGTGAATATTTCAATATTCTTCTTTCTTGTAGTTGTTCAATCAATTTCATGAAGTCTTTAAAATTGACTGACAAATTTTATCACCCACACACTTTAAAAACATTTTCCTGTGACGACACCTGGAGATTATAAGTCAGCGGTCGTTGGTTGCGGGCGCGCACCGCCGGGGAGGGAAATCCCCTCCTCTAAAATTGTTCAGAAACCGTTAATTTTAACTTGACACAAAACATTTAAGTAAAAATATGGTCCGATAATCATTAAATGGAAAAAAATCGTATCGCAGCATGAACTGAGAGTAGCCTGCGACATTTTACAAAATCTGTAAAACGACCCATTCGACCAAAACATTTTGAACTTCCCCTCCGAAAATTCACCCCAGGCTCCGGGGTGGCCTGTGGGTCGAAGGCAAGCGCCCTCTTCGTGCGCCGGCGTGGCTCGATGAACAAAAGCCGCCCCTGGGCTGGGAGGCGGGCGACCCTCTCCGCCGCGCGTTCACTGCGGGTGGTGGCGGCCGTCGGCAGCGCCTTCGCGCGCCTGGGCGCCTTCGGGGTTGGCGAGCGTGGGTCGTTCCCATTGCAACCCCAAAACTGCCTAGGGAACTGACATTATTGAAATTCAGATTTCAGTTTTTGCCTTAATTCACTCAAATGTTATTGATAATTTCATAATTATCCAAAATGAAAACATTATATCTATCAGACATCGTAGGCATACCTAGCCATTCTGTTTATGCTTCCTGAGTAAGCCCTGTGTGTCCTAATTTCAGAATTTTTATGTCACTAGACCCTCTGTCTCGTAGACCGTCTGTCTCATTAGACTTGCGCAATAGAACTTCTGTTTTTTGGGGGGTCCACTTAGTATTAAACCATCTGTGCATGAACCCAACCACCCGTAATCTTAGAATCCACGTTTTTTGAGTCCTTGATTTCAAAGGTGCTACAAAAGCACATACATATATTATCGCATTATTTCTAACTTTTGGAATTTTCAAATATTATTAATCAATTAAACTGGTACATCATACAAGATGAAACTTGTTTGACATACATTGTGAAAAAAAACTTTATGTTATTCAAAAAGTACAGAAATATATATTTTTTCAAAACCCAACGGTCCACAAGTATAAAAAAATTAACCAAAATTCTACGGGTATGTATTTCCGTAAGTTATACATTTTATTTGATTTTATACATATAGATTTTTGATTTTTTTTAACTGATTCACAATGAATTAGAATTTTTTGTGTAAGTACTTTCTGTCTCTCTGAATTTTGAAAACCATAGCTGCACGACGAAGTATTCTCAAAATTCTGACAAGTGCACAAATGGCGAATTTCCTGCCCACTGCAAAAAAGATTACTTTCGCCGATTTAGATTATGCAGTGTTCCTTGTCTACATGCTGATTATGTATAGACGAAGACTGTGGAACTTAACCCGTAGACTCATGTCGCTGATTTTCCAAGCGTAGTTAGCTCGGAGCGAGCGTCGACGTTGTCTCTGCAACAACTGTGACCGCGAGGTCCTTGGATTCGACCCCCGACAGCGGCGTGTTTTTAGCACTAGCTTCTTCGTGAAGCGAGGCCACTGTGTGGAAGAGGATTCGAGCGGCTGGCTGCTTTCATCGATATTTCTTCGTGGTTGCTTCCATAAATACCAGGCTAATGATGGAGCACTACTCTTAGAAATGGGCCACCGATCGAGCGCGGCCTTTCTTTTCTCCTTGATCTATTCTCACTTCTTAAGCCCGCTATACACGGTCATTTTTGCATCATTTTTCTGTACAGAAAGTGGATGGAAAAAGGATGCGCGTTTGTTTCGGTACCGAAACTGAATGAACGTGATTCCGATGTTTTACACGATCATTTCTGCTCTGTATGCAATCGTGATGAAAATACTTCCTCCACACGCCGCAAAAAGCGCTGGAAGTTAAACAGTTGAACATCGCACGTACGTAAACAATTGCAATACGCGGGAAAAATGATGAGATGGTTACGTATTCGCAGTGAAGGTGGTAGATAGTCGTGTGAAGTATTGTGATTTTTGAGTTGGAAATGGAAAGGAAAGCAGTGACACTCAACCTCACGAAATCACAACCAAAACAGCACAAAACGCTCTAACGTTCGAACAACTCTCCAGGGCACGGAATCGAAGAAAGTTCCATAGAGTAACACCAGGAGCGCCATAGTCAAACTGGATGCAATTTGTACGGCAAAATGAAGCATGCTTCATTTTTACGTACAAGTTGCATCCAGTCTGGTCAGTAACTTGTCTGTACCGACGAGAAATGATGCAAAAATGACCGTGTAAAGCGGGCTTTACTCACACACACTTAGCGTTACATGCGCTACCCTGTCACACATGTGGGGAGCTTAGAGCTGGTCCAGACTCGGGCGATGCCCGCTCGGGAAGAACTAGAGCTCTTTAGCGTTTCTATGCCACTCCAAACAATATTCTTTTCTCTCATTTTCCAAACAAAATTAATTTCTTTCAGAATTATGTACAAACAAGGTTAAGATACTTGAAAAAAATATGTAACATAAATGCCTCTGATTTTTCCCAAATTTCTTTTCCTGAAAGAACATTCCCTGTAAAGTAAGTTTCATTCATAAGCTTTATTAAATCTTCTTTTCTAACTATACACACATGTTTAATGTTAGCTTCATAAGCTTTCTCATAGATAGTCTTGCAATTGCTTTCTTCCCAAAACCATCTATCAGATCTCATTCATTACTGACTTCACAGAACTGAGAGAATATTGTGAAGTCGATATAAACTACATTTTAGAAGATCATATACATTTCTATGTTCAATTACCGTATATACAAAATTCACAATTTATAGATATTAACAAAAAATATACAAAATGCATGCATATAGAAATTCAAATAATCTCGCCCTCAGTGGGAAAATTTAATATTTTGTTACATTTAATAAACCTCTTACGTCGTATAAATATGCCACTTCACATGTATGTTCGGAATTCGTCTTCATGATCCTTTGTCTTTTATATTCGTTTTCTAATTCCCAAATAACGTAGTAACATTGTATATTGCTGTACTATTTAATATCCGTAGTAAACCACGATTTTTATGCATAATTTTAACACGCTTAAACTATTGTTTAACTACTGTTTGCTTAAACTCTTCACTATTGTTTCAAACATCTGGCTTAAAAATTCAAAAACAAATAATCCGATGAGACTATCACACCAAAATGCCAAATTCAATAAAAATTGTCAATATGCTTCCACACATTCAGGAGTGCAATTCCGAACATGTTGGTAGAAAATAAAACAAATGAAAAGGATGCCAACCGTAGTTACAAACAAATGTTACCACAGCATGTACGCCAACACATGGGGTGTTTCATTGACAGTTGACTCCCCTGAACTGGACGTTTACTAAACGAAAGTGTAACGAAAAGTCCCTCAACCAATGTCGTTAGAATGGCGGGTAATTTTCGTGATGTTAGTATGATCATACACTTTCTCTGAGACTATTTGAACCTGAAAACTGGTGTATACCGTAGAGGGCTCCCCCACATGCCGACATATACACCACTTAGACACTACCGTACATTTCGGGAGACCAGTCGAGAGCTAAGAGCTTGTCCCGGCTGGGGCGGTGCCCCGCTGGAGGGAGACTCCTGGTTCTGGAAAATCCCGCTAGCCGACGTGGTTGGCGCCGGATCTCATCACCCAGCGGGAGAAGATTACCGCCGCTTCTCGCGATAGAAACATTCCCTACATTTACGGGTGTAACGACCTCATCAGTTGTCATGCCAGGAAATACTTATCAATCAATGAAAGAATGGCCGTTTGCCGCATGAGCCGGCCAGCACTTAGAGTGCAAGCCCCCCACGCGTGGTGTGTGTGTGTGTCGGCAGACGAGGGCAACCAGGCGCTGCAGGAGTTCCTGGCGGCGCGCAACCCGCGCCAGCAACACTCGTCCACGCTCGAGTCCTACCTCATCAAGCCCATCCAGCGCATCCTTAAGTACCCGCTGCTGCTGCAGCAGCTGCGCAACCTGACGGAGCCGCAGGCGGACGAGCACCAGCACCTGGTGGAGGCGCTGCAGGGCATGGAGAAGGTGGCCGAGCACATCAACGAGATGCAGCGCATCCACGAGGAGTACGGCGCCATCTTCGACCACCTCTTCCGCCAGCACCAGAAGTCCTGCAAGCAGGTCAGCTTCGGTCACAAATTAAAAACGTTGTTACACCCAAATACTGGACACGTTGTCTATGTATGTCGACGCGCTGAATCAGAATCTGAAGCCTGAATTGCACAATCACCTTCCAGTTTGTTTGTCTTTTATAAATCGCGAAAAAACAGCGTGAAATTTACAATTTCATATTTAACGGTGTTGTTTTGCGGTACAAAAACTGGAGGGTGATGGCGCAATTCTGACTGCGATTCAGCGCGTCGACGTGTATAGAAAACATGTGTCGTCTTCGGTCTAACAACTTGTTTTGTGTGTGCCTGTATTCATATTGCAAGCGTACCCGTTCGAGAACTCTCGCATGTTAAACCCCACCCAGTTTCCTAACCTTCCCTTTCCATATTAAATCAATGACTTATATTTTTCTTCAAGTTCCTCTCATCCATCGTTAATTATTCGGCACATCTTGTAATTGTATTACCGAACGTATTTTAATATAATAGTTCAACACACCCTTCTCTATACAAACTATCCATATTTAACGTAAATATCGTACACCCGTGCATCTCTGTTCGGCAATCGCATAGAATATCAATTAATTAGTTGAATTTCACATACAGATGCAGATTCTGCACGTCACTAATCAGATAGGATAGAATCGAGAAGCGCCGAAGCAGCAAAAATGTAATAGAATGTTCAAGAAGGTATCTTCTTGCAGATTACGGTCTGAGGAACGTGCATTTGAGACTTTCGTCTCAAGGTCTTAACGTTTCCAGATCCAAGGTTATAATGCTCTACATGGCTTCGTTTGGGAGTTATACATCTATATATATTTTAAGAACTGTCATTGCACTTGATCTTCAATTACTTACGCTTAAAATCCGAGGAATATAAATATATCAAGAAACAACGCCATTTGTTTAAAATCTTAACCAGCTCTTAAAATACTTCACAAACAATTAAATGTGAAAAGCAAGACGGCCTTCATTCAAGATTGGCGGGCTCTCCATAATCTTACTTTGTCTCCACCAGGGTTGCTATGCGTGCATCACTAACTACCCAAAAGGGGGCTGAGCTGCGCTGCTGTATAATACGTAGACGTGAATTAGCCGAGTTTATACATACATTTTACGGAACAAAGGCCAGAGATACAATAAGTGTAGGGAGAACCTTTGCTTTTAAGCTGCTTCGGCTGATCTCGATTTCTAAAATCTTGTAATGAAGAAGTTTATTATTATTATTATTATTATTATTATTATTATTATTATTATTATTATTATTCCATTTTTGGTCTTATACAGCTACCACCCAGATACAACATCAAAGCATGGTAACTGATTTGTTTTACCTTTACAACATTCTGTATTTAATATAATACAATATAAAATATCAAACCTGAAATTACAATATAATAGCTAAATTTAAAAGCTTCTCAATGGCACATGTCCTCCCATGACTTTCCTGACCAATGAGCACGTACGAATGACTGATTTTTGAAGAGCGATGTTAATATTATTGTCCTTACCTAGGTCGTCTAACAAACTGCTAACAGGTTTAGCTGATAGTACAATTGGAACAGTTTCAACGTCTGCAACTTGCTACTACACTCTAAACTGCATATGCTAGTTCTCGGTATTTATTGATTTTTTTCTTGATATGTTGTCATCATGTTGCTGGTACTAACAACTGTAAAATCGACAAACCAAACATTCCTGGCAGGATTATCCCAGAGCGTATCATCAGTCTATTGTGCTGGATTGTTCTATCTGTCAGAATACTGCGGTCCCATTACAACTTATGGGACTCGCTTTCAAGCACCGTTTCTGGATGATATTGGCAGTACAGTGTATCATTGTCCTGCATCTCTGTATTTCTTACCGAGCTTGTCTTGGATGATCGAGCCCACTGTGCCTCGTTTTGTAGTCTGTTGGGGCTAGTGCACTGCCACCCGAGATGATATGCTGGGTGGTTTCATGATCTCGCCCACACATTCGACACACCAATGTATTTCTGGGACTTCAATTGTGTATTTAAGGTAGTTCTTCGTTGGGACATACAGATCTTGAATTGTCACCATAAAGCCTTTACTCTCACGGTAAAAATTTCCTATGCTGATCCATTTGTACATTTCCCCGTCAACATTTGGATTGCCAACTGCGGTAGGATATGCAACGTGGAGGGCTTTCTGATTACAGAAATCCATTTCTTGTTCAAAAGATAACTGTTGGATTGATATATTTTGTTGTTTTCGATTTAGGGGAGTATAGTTGTCATCTGTCTGTGCGACCACCTTGAATAGTTGAGAAGTATTCGCTTTCCCACAAAATACTTTCTCATGGTCGTTATCTGCTTATCGTGGGGGTTTATCAACTTTACAATACCACGCCCTCCCATTCTTCGCGGCAATGTCATCCTCTGAATAACGCATCTTGTATGATGGCAACCAACACGTATCATTTGGACTCGCGCCCGTCCTTCCATTTCCTCTAGGTCTGTTGAAAACCATTTGAGAATACCCACTGAAAATTGATGGGATGTTCAAATAGGAGGAGCGTATGTGTTGATGGCAACCGTGAAGTTTCGAGAATTGAGGAAAGTTCTTAAAACTGCCGAGAGTTGGTTCGTGTGCTCAGGTTTTAGCGTTCCTTTCAGCTATGATGGACTATCATACATCCCTGTTGTACACCAAGACATTTGTATTATTCATTGTCTTCCAGAGCGGATATTATCTCTGCACTTACAGTCTCCTATCTAGCTTCATTGGCGAGTTTACTCTTTTGTATTTCTTGAATTTTGCTCTTGTCAATTCCCAACTGCATATCAATGTCTAAAAATATTCTTCAATGGTTTTTATTTTCATTTCTAGGCCACGAATCGTACCTGAGTAGTGTTTAAGGTCATCGGTATATGCAAGGTGCGTTATACGGGTCTTCTCAGTGCCTTTCAGTTCCAATCCTATTTGTAGGTCTTCCAGAATTGTTTAGAGTGGGTTCATGGCCGGACAAAACCAGTACTGGCTCAGACTACCACTTTAGAAAATGCCACGCCTCATGTTTATTTTATTGGTGATGCTTGTTTCATTTTTTGCCGTGACACGGATAATGTTCTTCCATTTGTTCATGGTAAATTTGCGGAAATTCAGCATCGTTGGATTAATATGGTACAGTGACTGTGTAGAGCAGCCAATCATGCGGCACCACGTCATAGGACTTCTTATAGTACATAAAACAAATGAACAAGTTGCGATTCTTCTTACATGCTTGAGACATGATATTACTTTCAATGATAAGTTGTTCTTTACATCCGAGGAGACATTTGCTGCATCCTCTTTGAGTTTCAGCTAGGATAGAATTTGCTGTACAGTGATGTTCGATAATTATTGATAAACAACTTGTAATGATTTTATAGAATGAGTTAAGACATGTTATGTCAGTATTTAATCTACAGTTTCCCTGGTTTTGGGCTTCGTAAATATTACCCCTTTGCAAAGATAATGCGACATTTCTTCTGGATAATTCAGGAAGTTGTTGATGACATTTAGGATCTTCCCGTGGAGACTGGAGAATTTTTTGTACCAATAACTAGGCAAACCATCTAACCCCGGCAATTTCCAATTGAACAATCTCTGTATACATTTCTGTAGGATATCTTGATTGATTTGAGAAGTTGTGATTTCTGTGATCTGCGTCGTATCACCTCTGATCTGTTCTAGCCACGGTGCGTTGACATTAAAGTGGCTTTCAGTCGATCATATTTCACTCCACACTACAGCAACTTTGTCTGGCAGGATGTTCATTTCTGTGTTTTCTTTTTCTAGCTTTCTGTAGTTGTATTGATATTGTGATGAGTTTTCGTTGGCATTTACAATACAATAATGGTGAAGGCTAAGCCTTCAGAGCTGCTATTGTAATAAACAATATTGTTGGCAATGACGACTCACAATTATTTCTTCTGTAGTTCTTTTGGCTCCTGAGAAATTATTTGTTGTCTGTTTTCCGCTTTAATATTTTTGTGTCTGCGTATGTGTTGGCTATAGACTTCAGTTGCTTTTTTAGAGTCTCAATAAAGTCAAGAAGACTTGTAAGTCGATATTGTGGTGTGTGTAAATGCGATTTTTTCTCTTAATCAATGCCATTTTATTTCTCAAATATTTACTTCTATCACCTCTGTAAAGCTTCCAATGTAGCAATATCTGATCGAAGGCTTTGGATGCGTTTTCGCAACCGGATTTCCATAGGGGATCCTTCTTGCGGTTCCGAAAACCCCGTGTTGATTGTACTTCAGATATTTGCCCACCATTCATTCTCCCTATTGCAAGTGCCATACAATGGTTGTATAGTCGAGATGGTCATAGGTCATGATATTTGTCGATAATTGTCAGTCGATATTGCGATTCAAGACTTTCGTCTGACTCCTCCTCCTTGACCTATCCGGCAAGGGAGGTCCTACTAATAGCTACGTAGCGTACATAGCTCCGGCATAGCTCTCAGGGTCACTGGGATACTCAAGCTCCACCACCAACGTCAAGGTCGTGTACTCCCGAGGTGTGTTATTATTATTATTATTATTATTATTATTATTTAGCAAATTGCATTTCATTAAAGGCCAAAGACCCTCTGATTCAGGGGGAAAAGTAACCATTTCCTGCTAAGGCTTACCGATTGCAATTATTTTCACAATTCTTGATGTGATTTATTTTAATAATCCTTAATTTGTTGTTCACACAGTTCACTCACACTTTTCCTGTTCACAATTAAATTATTAGATTGTCTTGTTAACGCGATCCAGACGAATTATAATATAATTTGCGCAGCAAGGCGCCTCATATTTTTTAGAAATAAATATGAGGCGTTGTGTCATATGTATTTATTTCTGCCCACAACAAAGCCTCAAATTAATTTCTATAATGATTCCAATGTCGTCAACATCACACCATTTCCTACACTTGATATATTTTATAACTAGTCTTGATAATTTACAATAAGGGAATCAGTAATCAAAGAATCAATGAATGTGTTTTTGGAGGGTGAGGTAGTGAGTGTGAGGTGTGGTTTGCGCAGCCGATCGACCTAAGCCCCGGCGACCTGCTGTACTATGGCGGCGTGGAGTGGCTGAACATCTCCGACTTCCTGGGCAAGATCAAGAAGGGGCTGGAGCTGCACGCCATGTGCTTCGTGTTCAAATCGGCCGTGGTGTTCCTGTGCAAGGAGCGCCTGCGCCAGAAGAAGAAGCTGATGGGCGTGGCCAGCAAGGGCAGCGCCAGCGAGGTGGAGATCATCCGCTACCAGGTGCTCATCCCGGTGACGGAGGTGCAGGTGCGCGCGTCCTCGGCCAAGGACATGGACTCGCACTTCCTCTGGGAGCTCATCCACCTGCGCAGCCAGCTGCAGCGCCGCTCCGAGAAGGTCTACGTGCTCTCCAACAGGTGCGCACAGAGCATGTGTCTCTAGCATGTGCTTCTTCCTGGGGATGTTTCCTGCTTCAGGGGATGCCGATTCCAGGTGTTGCCGCGACGGGTACCCACTGTGTCCCTCATGCTGACACATGTTAACCTTTGCACTAGACACACATGCTGGCTCCTTGGCCTCTGGCCATCAGTCTCTCAAGGCCTTCCGCAACAGCACGCACTTTCGAAAGACAAGGGACAAACAACCTTGCTTACGGAGAGATTCCAACTCGCGACCCTTCGGACCGAGGCACTGAGTAGGTACACGCTCTAGTCTCCATCCAGAACGGCGTAAACTAGCAATAACACCATTTTTTTAAATCAAGACGGAACCTGTATTTCAGTTAATTATTTGTTCCGGCTGAGATGGATCACAGCATTAATTGACATCACTGCAGTGCCACTGACCGAGAGCCCTAGGGTTCCACTTCCGGCGACGGCAAAGTTTTCAACACCAGCTACATAGCTACGAAATACATGAAATTCAGTCGCTGTTTGAAAAAGAATTCTATCGGCCAACTTCTCTGGTCTGTAGTTTTCCATGATCTCTCCGATCAACACCAGGCAAATACCGGAACAGTATTATAACAAAAGGCCACCGTACTGCACGCGTTGTTTCCTTTCTCTTCCTTGTCCTATTCTTTCTCCTTACGTATGCACACTTACACCTACACGTACATGCATTACACTGTCGTGTGCATAGAGCGTGTCCCGGCTGGGGCGGTGCTCTGGTGGTGGGAGATACCTGGATGGAAAAAACCGCAAGCCGACTTGTAGGTCGGTGCCAGATCTCGCCATCCATTCAAGGAAAACCACCGCCACCTCCAGCTAAAAACATGTAATACACTTACGGGACTAATGATCTTAGCAGTTACGAGCACGGAATCATTCATCAATTACTCCAAGGCAACAAGTGCATGCCTGGATGAATTTCTTATATTTAGTTGTTGCTCCGAATGCCTGGCCTTGGAATACATTGCCCACCGCCGACATGAGTTGTCGGACATTTTGGAGTTTGGAACCGAATATATAAATATGCATTATTAGTTCTGAGACTCAGACTAATGGGCTTGCTCTTCCACCTGACAACTTTCAAAAGGTTAACACATAATACAATAATTCAAGTAAAATACGCATATTGTGATTATTTTATCAATTTCATATTAGAAATTAAATTAAAATTAATGAAACATTTACAGAAGTAAGTAATACATCTGGGGATTTTACTCTCATTTGGTGATTTTTTCTGTGTCTCTGCAAGTGGGAAGTGGGGGAGGGCTTGAAATAAAACAAGTAATTCATTGGCGCCAGCAAAGTCAGAGACTCCGCCGCCTCAGGGCCGCTGCCGGGCGCAGCGTTCGCGTCGTAGGCGGCCGACAGTCGCCCTTCGCCTCCCCGCGCAGCCACCGCGCGGTCCCCCGCTGCTGCTTCTGGCGATGTCGACATAATTGCTGTTGGTGACACCGCGGACAGACTTGCCTGGCGCACGATGTTAATCGGATTACGAGTATAGCAGAGCTCAGCGCGGACGGGTGTTGGAGAGCCGGAAGAGGTGGCTCAGGGCATCACCTCAAGGCAGTGCCTCTGACAGGGGCAGGGGCCGGGAGCGTGATAGAGTTACAGCCTCGACGCTGGCAGGATTTTCAACGCTAGGTAGATAGCTGTGTCGAGTTCTGTCACTGTCTGCAGGGGAATTCTAGCGGTCCGCTGCTCTTTTCGGTAGTTCTCCCTGGTTTCTCCGACCAATACCACGCGAATGCTGGGGTAGTACAGTAACAAACGGGCCACGCACCATTCTCTATCTTTCCTTCCTTTTCCTTGTTGCATCTTTACCCCATACACACGCACCAACACTAACATGCACTGACGGGAGACCGGTCGAGAGCTTACAACTTGTCCCAGCTGGGACGATCATTCGCTGGTGGGAGATACCTAGTTGGGTGGAGACCTACGGCAGATCGGCGCCGGATCTCACCATCAAGCGCGGGATGATCACCGCCTCCTCCCGCAACACTACAACGAGCATTGCACTTACTTGGCTAATGACCTTAACAGTTGAAATCACTAACCACCCAACGCTCCTCTCTTGGTGTTGGCAGCACGGCCGATTTCCGCAACGCCTTCCTCAAGACCATCCGGCAGATCATCCGAGAGAGCGTGCGCAACATGAGCATCCCTGCGACGCGTCCCGCGGGCGCGTCGGGGCCGTCGCTGCTGGTGGCGTCGGCGTCAACGTCGGCGGGAGCCCACGGGCGGCCCGTGCGGCGGCGTCGTCGCCCCAGCCCTCGCCGTCGCCCTCGCCCTCGCCCGCGCCCCAGCCGCAGCCCCAGCCGTCGGCGGCGCCCGCGCCCTCGCCCTCGCCCGCCCCGCGCGCCCGCCGCTCCCGCCCCGCCCCCGCCACGCCCACCCCGCAAGAGCGCCGGCGGCGTTGTCATCCACCAGGGCTCGCACACGCTAGGCAAGACCAAGAAGGCGCCAAGGCCGCAGCGCCACTCGGCGGCAACATCGACTACGACAGCCTGGAGGCGGCGGCGGCGGCGGCGGCGGACGGCGCGCCGCGCCCGCACGGCTTCCGCTCGCAGCAGCAAGACCGTCAGCGACGGCGCGGGTGAGTCTCGCGCCCGGCCGCGGCGCACGTAGCCACTCTAACGCCCCCGCCACTCACGGCTTTTTGACACTGGCTAGGGCGAATTCAGCCGCTGTCTGGAGCAGAATTCTCGCGGCCGGCTGCTCTGATCGGTAGTTTTCCGTGATTTCTCCGATCAAAGCCAAGCAAATGCCTGAGCGGTACCCTAACAAACGGACCGCGCGCGATCTTTCCTTCCTCTTCCTATTCTCACACCTTACGTACACTTATATGCACTACTCTACCGCACATGCTGGGAACTTCAAACTTGTCTGCTCGAAGTTGTGGCGGTGCTCCGCTGATGGAAGATATCTAGCTGAGGGAAATCCCGCTAGCTGACGCGCAGGTCAACGCCAGATCTCGTTATCCAGCGGGAGAAATCCCCGCCACTGCCCGCGATAAAACCATGCACCACACGAACCGAACTAATGACCTTAACAGTTGACGCGTCCGGTATGATCAATCATTCGATCACAGCACAACTCTTCTTTAATAAATGCCTTCCTCTTTAACAATATACAAATCTATACTTTCCCCGATAACTGTCGCATGTCCTGTGTGAATTTCAGCTGCCGCAACTACATTAAATAAATTTATTTCATAAATTAAACAAATAAATTTAATAAATAAATTTAAAAAATAAATTAAATTAATTAAACAAATGTTGCAAAACTAAATCTTAAGAATAACAATAAATTCCCCTTAGTTTGTCAGCAATGAGATCCTTCACAATAACTTTGCAAATGAAACCATTTACTTTCTTTATTACTAATCAGGCACATCATTTGTACAATAATTTAAATCACATACATGGAGCAATCACTTACAAAATAAGGTCTGATTAATCCTACGCTCTGCCAGCTACTGAACATACAATTTCACATTTTTTCTTCAAAATCTCTCTGACATTAGATAAGGATAGAATGTGTCTTTCATTTACCTGTCTCCTCCATTTACCTATCTATCGTGTTATTTTCTAAACCCTTGTCGCACTCTGAGGATTGTTTCCAGAAACATCCTCTCAATAACTTTGGTTAAGGTTTCAACTAACAAAATCAACATCAGGGAGGTGACTACAAGATATCAAGATACCTACAAGGTAGCTGCAATTTCCACACTTTGCAGGTACAAAACTACTCGGCTGATTCACTGAAGATCCTCCCGGCTGAACGTCGCACTGTCTGTCAATGAAAAACAAATCTTAATAATTAAAACAAAAACATTAACAGTCACCAAAATTGATTTTGTCACACCTGCGCAACTCTATTCATCGCAGACATCACATCAATGGCCACACCACTACCAATCTTAACTAATCGAAATAAGTATTCCGAAGTAGCATCATGTGGCAGAAGATCCTGCCAAAGGGAAGATCCGGGTCATCTCGCAAATGTGCAGTAATTGCATTGAAGTTCATTTCTAGCACGGGTTTGCTTCAGAGGTAGATCAGGGATCAGTCGGTCTCTTTTTATGTTATAATTTTTATGTTACTTTTTTAAGTTATCACTTTTTTTCAATTGTGTTTGTGCGCTTTGCCTTGTGCGTCGTGGTCGTTGCTGCAATACACATTAAACACGAGGATTCAATGAATCTGGAAATGGTGTTGATGAAACACGAGCGCCTGAGGAAGGGGGCGGAGAGCCCCTTCCTTCCTCGGGCAGTTCCTCCTGGCGCTCCCTGAGTCAACGCCCTTATTTCTTTCTTTAGGAACGGAGTTACTTTTGCATCATTTACACCAGCCCATAAACTCATGCACCAGTCCTTCCCGAAAATAGTTTTTGTATCAAACTCAACTTTTCTTCTAAAAGGGACCTGCCACCGCAGAAAGGACTGCAAGTACCAAAATGTTAAATATATACACCCATGAGTATGTGACGAATTGAAAATCTTTTAAAATAACTTGAAGAAAATGATAGTAATATACAAAATTCCAATCATGTATTGTAATATTGTAAAATATAAATACATGTATCATTATTTCTTACATATATAACATTTTCCTTAAATTATGTTGTTGTCTATCCTGAAACCCGCCATGGCCCCCGCGTGCGGCGCAATGGCATTGGGATGCGAAAGATCTAGCTTCGAAGAGCGAGTGTCTTGCAGCTGGCAAGGTACCGACACACCAACAGCCCCAACTAGTGGGGCTACAACAGCACCTACTTTCTCGCATTGTTACTAAATTTGTATTTTTTAAAAAATCAGACAGTTTAGAAATAATGGAAACCGCGCCATTCTTTTAAGCATTTCTTGTTCCATCCGTTGGAGAACATTTGCGCGGTTTTTGAAACAAAAGTTTTTTTTATTAATTGTATAAATTTCTAGCACAAATTAGGCTTGATATACTCTTTTTTAAACACATTTTGCACGATTTTTTAAAGAACTGGCTTTTAAAATAGATTTTTTTCTGAGGCAAAAATCTCCATTCTAAAATTTATAATGTTTAATTGTTAAAATTATGCAATTTTCGAAAATACAGAGATATCGCTGGAAACAAAACTAGCACCACTTTTTACCATTCTTTCGTGGAGAAAATTTAAAGGAAAATTGGCGTAATTTTTTTTTTGAAAAAAATTGTTAGAAATACCAATGTCTATATTTCACAAAACTATTCATATTTTTGAAAAATTGAACATGATCTTATTTGAATATCTGTCTTTAAAGAAAAGATATTATTACAAAAAAATCTATATCTTCAATATTGTAGTCATAGGATGACGCCGACACAAATTGTGAACTTTTGCGTTTTTCAAAAAATGAAGGATTTCAACGAAAGTAGGTCTTGCACCATTCTATTAATCGTTCTTTACGCATTCAGAAGACAAAGTTTAATCACAAAATTTTGAACTCTTCTTGAGAAAATTTTGAAAATATTGTTGAGGCTTATAGTAAAGTTTCCCCAGAATCAAACAATCCGTTTTAAGCTTTCAGGGCCTTGAGTTCGTTCAGAACGGTTGTAACCAACGCTGGCGGCCAAACGAACAGTAGATTTTTCACCAAAACTGTTATTCTCCAATTCGATCTGTCCGCTCTCACGTGGCACTAAGAACAAAGGCTGTACAAATAGCGACGTTTCAAAGGTTTCAAGACAATTTAAGATATTTCGCGCGACAACGTCTGACGATTTTCAGGAATTATTTAAAATTAATTTCCAGCTAAAAAATCGTATGTATAATTTCCTTTATGTACTTTCATATTTCAAAAAGGTCAGGACATGTTTCGAAATGATGTCTGTGACCATTTCCTTGTGAGACTCACTTGGAGCTCGGTTTGCATTTATTCTAGTTTTTGTACGCAATTTCACCCTAGTAACCAAAGACATCCATTTTTATGCATGGCCTAGTAAAGGATTTCCCGAAATGAGGCACGACATGCGCGCGTGATTCAGTCTACTTTTGTTCCTCGTTGCGTACCGGTGAGCTCATAAGAGTCACTTCGTAATAACCCCTTGCTCTTTGAATTAGCTCCTGCTTAGGTTTGTAAGGACATTAATTGAAGTCACTACAAAGCACTAGACCATGAGGTCGTAGCGTTCGGTCCCGACGACGGCAGGATTTTGGAAACCAGCTCGATAGCTAGATCGAATTCAGCCTTCAGTTCGAATTCAGGCGGCCGGCTGCTCTCATCCGCAGTTTTCCCTGGTAAATTCGTTCATCACCAGACGATACTGGGGCGGCACCCGCTCCAGTGCCACCGATCTCTATCATCACCCCGTACTCACACACACATGCATTCCACTACAGCTCGTGTGGGGAGCATAGAGCTAGTCCCGGCTAGTAGGGACGGTGCGCCGCCTCTGGGAGGTACCTGGTTGGGGGAAGCCGTAGGTCGGCGCCGGATCTCGCCATCCGCCCGTTTGCTGAGCGCGCGGCGGAGCAGCTGAGGGGGGTGTGGGTGCGCAGACGAGCGGGACGCGGAGCGCGGGCGCGCCGACTGCGACCCGGGCACCAAGTCGGAGGGCGAGGAGGAGGCGGCGGCGGCGGGGCCGGGCGGTGGCGGCGGCGCCAAGGGCAAGTCGGGCACGCTCGGCCGCACGCCCAACCACCTCACGCTCAGCACCACGTCCACGCTCTCCGCCGGCAGCACCGGCAGCCAGGCGCGCCTCATCCAGTCGTCGCAGCAGCCGGAGCACTACCAGCCGCCGCCCGTCAAGGATTTGGGTGAGCAGCCCACGTGCGCTCGCTGTCAGGCGCTCTCGCTCTCGCACCTCCAGCCCGCCACTTCGGCGCGCCACTGACGCCGCCCCCCGACCACCGCAGCCGGCCACTCACTCCTTTCCCCTCGCCACGTAGGCCCGTCCCTCCTCCTCTCGAAAGCGTGGGCTTCCGCAGCCGCAAGCGCTACCTCCTTGGCTGGCCCGGGAGACGCCGCGTCCTAGGCACAGGGGTCGACGTTGGCCTCTGTCCCGAGGGCGCGGCGCGGCGCCTCCCGAACAGCCAGCAGATTACTCACTCCGTTCTCCATCGTCGATCACTAACTCCTCTCCTTACCTCCGTTTCAGTTCATCGCTCACCCCACTCCCTTCTACCACTGCAGTCAACCACTCACTCCACTCTCCATCGTCACTTCACCCAACCTCTGATATCACTCTTCGGCGCTACTCCCAGCACTTCACTGCCTCCATTTACCACCTACCCTTTTGCCAACCTCTAATCACAAGATCGAAATGGTTTGGACGTTGTGAAAATTCCTTCAACTTTATGAAAATCTTGGTGCGACTTTGGCGGCAGTGTGCTTTTTAATAAAGATAATCACATTTTTCAGTGAAACCTAGGTTTTGGCTAATTCATCAAAGAGTTTGCTTCTTAACTCCAATATCTTTTAGTTGTTGATCGTGGAAATAACGTTTTTCAAGAAATTTAAGACACTAATTGTGTTATATATATATATATATATATATATATATATATATATATATATATATATATATATATATACACATACAGAGAGAGAGAGAAATGGGGAGAAGACTCATATCGAAAGAGAAAACAGACCACATCTATAAAATTGAATTTAGAAATAACATTTCGCAAAAAAGTAATTTTCTGTATGGATACTTCCATATTGACGATTGTCGTTGTCGAGTAGACCTGGGTATGTAGTAGCATTAGGGCAATGCTACTGTCCTTCTCTATTTAGAAATTTCCATGAAAAATTTCTCGTCGCGGGGTCTCTCTTTCCCTTCCTTTCTCTCTCTCTCCCTGTCTCTCTCTCTCTTTCTTTCTCTCTCTCTCTCTCTCTCTCTCTCTCTATCTATCTATCTATCTATCTCTCTGACACACACACACACACTCCAGAAGGGTCAAATGGGCACTAAATCAATGCACTAAACTGATTCGGAACAAAAATCTAGTAAGAATTTCAGTGAAACAAGGAAAATATGCTGTCTCAACCAGTGTTATCGATAAATCCCAGAGTATTACCATTTAAAAGAGAAAAAGGCGCGAATATCGGTTAGGAGTGGATCGTACTGTGATTACTCCGAACAAAACACAAATATCTAAATAAATAAAGCAGAGAGAGTTGATTTTCAACGGGTAACTCCTAGCCAACATAGCCAATTTTAATAATTTTGTAGACAGATATCATATCCTAACTTAATATTTTATCGTTTTATTAACGGTAGAACAATAAACATGCAGGTCAAACGCATGTACCCAACTCGCAATATACCTCATGCGCAAGTTCTCCGTGCTAGGCGATGTCAGGTTGCAGGTGAAAATAATATTTCTTCCGATTTACATTAGTAATTGAATGAATTCCTTATCTTCTCGGAAATTTGATTGTTATATTAATTTTGTTATGTCTCTGTGGGGCAAAATGACGTCCGCTGTTCAAGTTTGTAAACCGAAGTGATAACCGAGATTCATAATCGACCAAGTCCTTTATTTGTGATATTTGTAAATATTATTATTTATTATATTATTGTGATCATTGAGTGGCGTTGAATGTAGTCTTAAGCTACAACATTTTGTTTCTTTAGCTACAACAGTCATCCGTCCATTAAGAACAACTTCTTTACGGGCGGCTGACTGTTGAATTCCTTAACGGACACCAGCCGATGTGAGTGGATTTTTGTGCATTTTTGGTCATGTTAATTTGATAACAACACATTATTATAAAAATTAATTACCCTGGAAATGCTGGGTATATATATATATATATATATATATATATATATATATATATATATATAATAATTATATAACCCTCTCTCTCTATATATATATATATATATTATATATATATATATAGAGAGAGAGAGAGAGAGAGGAGAGAGAGAGAGAGAAAATTCAGTGCTGATTTTCTCCACAGTAATCTCTGAAAGTGCTTAACCAATACCAATTAAACTTAATATTAATTTCATTTGATCTGGAGAGCTTTTGCTCATGATATACATCTATAAACATTATAATTTTAACGAAATAATTACTGCTCTGAGCGTCAGTCGTAGGAGGAGAAAGTTGTTGTTCAGTGTGAGTAGTTCAGCTGCGCGTCAGAATGTGTTAAAATCTCTGGTGCAAGTGGGTTCATTCAATGGCAATGTAATGCAAGGAATGGAAGAACGGCACAGAACGTGGGCTAGGCAAGGGCGAGACGGACTCTTAACACACTATGGTAAATGCAGGTGAGTCGATTCAGGTGGGTAGAAAACTCATTAATATGTTCCTCACATAGTCTTAGCTAAAAATAATTCCTTTGCCGATTTGGCCTCAAAAACGGGGAGTCCCGTAGAATAAGTTCTTGTGTATTTTCAATTTCATCGCAACGTGTATATCACCAGAACATTATGGGTATTTCCAAGACCCAAAGCGCCCTTGCAGACTCGGGAGGTCTTTAGACTCATTTTTAATAGCAATTGCACTCCAATTTTGAAAGGCCGGATGGCGAGCTCTGTTTCTGATGGCCTAAAAACACGATTGCTGGAACTGCTGTAATTAGCACTTCAATTCCTGAATTCATACAGTTTCCTTTTTCTTCAACTTCCTAAAGGAGCTAAATAGGCAATTGTTCTAAAATCCGAGGTCTATTGATTATATAGTGTAACTGTATTTTGAACCTTGACTGACTAAAATATTGATACGAAAATCAATACGACAGTCAAATTTAAGAGAGAATACTTCAAACCAATATTTTCGTATTATGCATCGCATTTGATCCAGGACGTTTTATATAGATCGTGTATGAATGAAAGTGGTTAAATGGAAAAAGAACAAAGTATAATGTCCTTTATTGTTACCTTCCTTCTTTAAATTCCATAAACATTGTTATTAACATATTTCTTACATGTAACCAAAGTATAATCTATAAAATAATACCTTTAAATATTATAAATAATAGACATTTGTGTAGTTTGATATTGCCATCGAAAATATTTTGGTGATGTATCGATGTTTCGTAAAATATGTCATCACTACTTCCAACAACTGTAATTCGTTGCTTGCTATTCAATTATTCCACATAGTTTCCATTACATGAGTGAAAATCTCTTGTTCCCAACTGCCAACGAGGCTCTTTTGTTCATTACTCAACACTTGAAGCTTAAATAAATGAGGAGCAATATTTCTCACTTGCAAATACTAAGGAAGTATTTAAATACCCGGAACCCAAGCCCATGACAAAGATAATTCAGAAAACTGAGTTTTGTAAGTGGATAATTAGTTGTCTCCCTTCGCTCTAGTTCACTGATTTACAGACATCTGCAGGTCTAATGAAAATGGTTATGTCTCTTTTTCAAATACTTATGAGCAGGATTTCCCAGCATTATCCGGGTATTTAATTATCGCAATCATCTACTAATCAGCGTAGTTTTTCTCCTGATTTCATTATTTTGGAAATAAGTTACAATTTCGTTATTTAAGACTTTATTATATGAACCTTTCTTAACTCTTAGTAATAGGTTTGTCTTTCTACACTCATCGGATTGTTACAACAATTTCCAAACTGTAGCCATGCGTAATCGCTTCTTGTAATCTCTGGTGCTCTCTTACAGCCAAATCTGCCCATAAAAATGTTGCAATCTTATTTTAGTATGTGTCGATAAAGTTAGAATCATTAAATTTTGGGATGTATTGATAACAGTGTGTAATCAAAGCAACAAGTAAATGTTGAACGAATTCTTCGAAAAGGGAACCGGAAGAGGTGTCTCCGGAAACTTATGTCACTGCAGTGCCTCTGACCGGGAGGTTTGAGTCTCATCAGTGACGGGATTTTTGACACTAGCTTGACAGCTAAGTCCAGTTCTGTCGCTGACTGAAGGAGAATTCCGGTGGCCGGGTGCTCTGATCGCTAGTTTTCCATCGTTTCTCCGATAAACACTAGGCGAATGCCAAATCAGTGCTCCAAAAAACAGGCGACGGCCGGCGCACGATCTTTCCTTCCTCTTCCTTGTCACATCTTCACTATCTTACACACTCACATGAACTACACAACCACACGTGCCAGAAGAACGGTGGGGAGCGTAGAGCTTTTCCCAGCTGGAGCGATGTCCCGCTGGCAGGAGATGCCTGGTTGGGAAAGCCCCGCTAGCCGGCGGTAGATCGGCGGCGAATTCCGCCATCCGGCGGGGAAAATCACCTCCACTTCCTGAGGAAAACGCACCACACTTACGAGACTCGTTACCTTAGCCGTTGACGTGTCCTAAATCGCTGACAACAATCAATCAATCGAAAAAGGACATGAACATCTGTGTCCACGCGGAAAGGACAGCAAGTACAGACGTTTGAAATGTATCGCCTCGTCTCTCAAATGTAATGTTTGTTATAAAATGTTAAAAACTACACTTCAACTATTTCGCATTTTATTCTGGGTCCGGCGTTGACCCTCCATTGTATTCCCCGGGTAGCGCAATGACATTGGTACTCGACCGTTAAGCCCCCTGGCTCCCGCTTTGCCCGGCCCTTACACTCTCCCCCTCTCTACCTGCTCCGCACGCCCCATCCAGCTTTAGTGCGTTGGTGGTTGCATACACCAGCTTGCAGGGGCTAGGGTTTTTATCACATTGTTCCCGACGTTATAAAATTATACTGGAGCAAACGCACTTGCATACATACATTTTATTTTTTATGTAGGCTTACATTTTATTTTCATGTATCTAGATAGAGCATGTAATTCTAAAAAACGGCCTAGAAATTAGAGCATTTAGATTTGATCTGGAGGT